TTTCTATCACTACAATGGTAAATTTAAAGTGCTTATGAGAATTATAAGGGGTGGTAATTTTATCTATATGGGGATGGTATAGTAATAGAGTTAGAGGTTGGGGGATGATAATAAGATAACGAAATAGGCACGTTGATTTTTGTTCATATGGAGTTTAAATTCTATTTGTATAACCTTTTCTTTATATCCTACTTCTGCCCTATTTTGATGAGTAACTATGAAGGCAATTCACTCAAAATGGCATCTGCGTTAATAAATACATGGGTATGGGATAGTATATGTGGAGGATTATTGGATAGTAGGACACTTGGTCAGTTAGTGTGGTTTTAACATTACATTCCCCATCAAACAATATATTTGTCTATATTCCCTTGATCCCCCATTTCCAAAACAGACAATATCATAACGCTAATGACCCCAAGTGACATTGTGTCATTTAAGTGATATCTCCGTGTTCAATTCTTGTAAGAGACCAGAGTGCCAACTCCATATTAAATTTCCCGTATGCATCACCAACCCAATACTAAAACTTTACTGTTTAAAAAAAAATAGATGATCAGATCGATGGATTGATAGATACGCATGGGTAGAGTATGTGAAATTCATATTAACTCGGAAACTAATCAAGTTCACACATTTATGAATATATTCATATTACAAATATTTTTCTTAATGTATTTTAATGCTAGGTTATTCGACTTATGAAAAAAGTCGGAAAATAGCCGAACTACTCATGTAATTTATAACATTTATTAAGCTCAGAGGAAATGTATAGTTTCAGATTTGATGGAAGCCGGCTGAACACTTGCATTATACTTATTTAATATCGTTTGTTAGAAAGATCATTTGAAGATTACCATAGCAATTCCATTTCTGATGGAGGAACCACTATGGCTCAGTGGTTTGCGTGCTGGAACCAGGACCAAAAGCGTACAGGTTCGAATCCTATCATCGAACTAGTCTCGGTCAGCTAACATGGCGTGTCCTGGGGCAGGACACATTACTCTAATTGTTTCTGCACTAATTTTACGACTTTAAGTCTTTAACCATTTAACAGGATGAAGCGAAACCAACATGAGTAGTAACATATTTTAGTTCCTTTAAGTTACAAAACGAAAATTTTTAGAGAAACTTACAGTATTATGATGTCCTATCAGAAGTATAAAAGAATAACATCTTCCGAATTAATTCCAACAGTCTTGAATGCCCTGATGTACCACAATACAATCAAGAAAGTATTTGAATGAGTTCTCATTAATCTCAGAGTAATGTTTTAGTTTAAGATGTCAATGAAATCTTTGTAATTCCAAAGAATGGTTTAAAGATATGACTCTCAAATTATATCTGAACAAAACTGCAAATGATTCCATAGGCTGATCTTACAACAGGAATGAATTATACCAGACTTCTATTTAAAAGTATTTCACTTGATCTGTGTTGCAATAAAATGTTCTGGAAAACTATCAAGCCCATGGGGAATCCACTAACCCTTGAATTCAAATTTTTGTAAATATATAAACCTACCACCGGAATTTCAACCTTGGATTTGGAGAGCATCGACAACTTCATGGAGGCCCATCCATTTTTTGTTTTTCGTGTGATTTTTCCCTCTAAGTCATTTATTTAGGTTTTTAAAGCTATTTACAAACGTGTGATGATACTAATTGATGGTGTGTGTGTACACACACACACACACACACACACACATACATATATATATATATATATATATATATATATATATATATGTATGTGTGTGTGTGTGTGTGTATGTTGAGGAGACCTAACTTATTTCATGAAATGTGAAATTTCATGCAGACACCCGTCCGCACATATCAATGTACATTTTTGACATTGAACCTGTATTTCTCATGGTTTTTGAGCTAAGGTCATCTGAAAGGTCCTTTCGACAATATGCACAAAATATTCTCATATCAAATCCTAGGCTATACATGGAGGCCAGTATTAATGGTGGAGGAAGAAACCTGGAAATCACCGCAAAGAAACACCGACCCACAAGAAGCTACTGGCAAGCTTTTTCACATATCCACATTCGCCGAATCCTAAAATATTATGAAAACAAAAGGTGTGGCAAAAGAACTAAATTTATTATAGGATGCGTTCGAGATTTCATTTTTACGCTGTTGCACATATCTTTTATCGATGAAATTCGGATATGTTTTTATGGCTTTGTTTCAAAGTTTAATGTGTGTGTGTGTGTGTGTGTGTGTGATTTCAGTTTTAACAATTTTTCGATCATATAGATACGATGTCTGCAGTGTGGCAGTTTATAGTAATGTCTAGCACTGGGGCATCATGTCGCAAACATCTAGCATGATGTCCCACCCAGTCACATTATCCTGACACCAGGCCTACTACTAACCTCTTAGTGCTGAGCGCCTAGCGAGGCAGCCGTTAGTACCATATTTGTAAGTCTTTCGTATGACTCGGCCGGGGATCAAACCCACGACCACCTGCATCCGTGGCTGACGCTTTAACCACTAGGCTACTTGAGCGGTCTTCAAGATTTAGTACTTTTGTGTATATGTTTATTCGGGTTTGCGAAAATCCCTGCGTTTACAGTAAAAAATTTCGAAACTAAAAGCTTATAAGTTCAATTATATTTGAACACTATTGCCAAAAATATTTTTAAATACACAAAATATGATAAAATTTTGTAGTTGCTTAAATAATCGTGATAAATTTCTTAAGCTTTAAAGACCTTTTGCAGAATGAGGTACTTCTGAAAAGAAAAAATATTTGTTCTAAAATATGCGATATTTATACTGAATTATTTATATTTCCCGTTTAAGCTGCGGAGATTAAGTATTTACTTTTGATACAGCGGGCCACTTAAATTCGAGTGAAAGTTATCCGGTCAGATTCAAAAAGGTTCAGAGTTATTACAACGAATACATTCGCCCCTTATCAAGTAGTTGTTCTCCTGCGAATGATTGGTATTTCGTTTTCACAGTATGGGCTAAAACAACAATTACTATCTCTATGAAAAAAGCTATAAAAAAACATAAAAGCAATAGAAAAATGTGGTAAATGCAAGAATGTAGCATAAATATGGCGAAAGCAAAAGCATAGCCTTCAATGTGCCGTTTTAGTATAATAAATGTCAGCAGCACGAGTAATCATTTGAGGAGCAGAATCAAATGGTCAAACATCTGATGCAAGCAAGGCGGATTCAAATTATTTGATCGAGACGGAGCTGCAAACGAAAGAAATAGACATTACATAGTTTTTAAAATATTGCAGAAAGAAAACTGTAGAGTGCAATGACAACATAGCCAAAACACTGGATAACATAAACAGGGTTTTGTTACTCAGTATTTAAAACCTGGACGGTGCTTTGACTCAATGTGCATCAACTCATCAGGAAAGACCTACACAATAAGCAAATAGCAATTACATCGAAAATATGCCAACGTAGGTAAATGTTATTTCTCACAAACAGGAACAAAAAGCACATGGAGTTAAATACCTCAGTCCAGCAGCAATATTATATCCGAAATAACTGTACATGTATGGAGCTGACCAACTACAATACTTTCATAACAAACAAAATTACACCTAACTCGGCTACAAGAAACAGGATTTAAGAAAATGCAAAGAGCTAAACCTCAAAAGTTTCGACCAGGAGAAAGTAATGCACAGAACACTGTTTCGCAGTCTATGGTAAAAAAAATATTTAGAAGATCATTAAAGTTTGAAATTCTAACGTATTGTTGTCCACTATATCGCTGTGTTCTTCCCCAGGATTTAATATTTAACACAACACTTGTGAAAGCTTCAGAAGTGAAAGAAGGTGGTAACCAAGCTAATGAACTGGAACCCTTTTGCCTTCATCACAGTACTCGATACGATTATAACACGAGACAAAGCAGATAGTATTACTTAAAAAAAACCCCCATCACATTCGATTCTACCAGAATGAGCCTGATGGGTTTTCGAGATAGGCAAAAAGTGCAGAAAGCAAACCAAACTAGTTTTCCAAATCAGAGACATTAGCAAGTCCGCTTTATATGGCTTATCCAACTGAATGGTGTTTACAAAAGCCACAAAGTAATTCTTTAACAAACACAAAAGCACAACAGGATTGGTATTATCACAGGTGTCGCAAAAGTTTATACAGATAATCATTACATCTGTCATTTTTTGGGGTATGCATAAAACCATAGTGCACAGCAGTGGTATTCGGATCATGTGCAGCATGGTATGCAAACATAAAACAAGCGAAAAACACAGATGCTCGCCAAATGTGTTTGCAAGATCTTGGTATCTGACCCTTGACCTTTATCATACATTTTAGCAACAGCCCAGCTGCTTTTTCGAATCTGTCAATAGGATTTGTCTCTTTTTTTTCATTGAATTTGAAGGGATGTTTCTCAAATCAACTCTTTCAGGATATCTGTTAATTATTTTTAAATACATGCCATGTGAAATTGTTCATCAGAAACTTAAGGTACATGCAGTTTCATGTGCCGTGTAACTGAAATAATGGCACCAATTTCAATTTAATGTCATACTCACCTTGCCTCAACCATGCAGCGCAATTAAAATGTCACACTTGATATGACTTGATGAAAAATAGAGGTGTCTACCAAAAGAATGAAGAAATATTTTCACCTTCGCTAAGAATGTTTTGTTTTTTGTATTCATGTGGGATTCTATAGGTATATACACTGTGGCATAAGTATACAAATGGATTTCTAAAAGTACATACAATGTGGCTTAAGTATACAAATGGATTTCCAAAAATATATACAATGTGGCTTCAGTTTACAATTCGCATATACAAAGTGGCTTCAGCATACAGCACTGAAAAAGGATCTGCAAACAAGCAAATAATATTTAATGTTTGCTGTGCCCCATTCAAAGCAGCTTTGCTATGTCTTTGGCAAGTCAATAACTGCAAAACTTAATTGTATATTTTTTCACTATCTTTTAAATATTCTCACCATTTTAAGCTTAAGTGTCAGGAATTAAAACAATATTTAAGGAAAGATTAGAAGAAAAACCACAATTAAGGAGAAATTTATTGAGAAGAAAAACAACAGCATAAAAATACACATGAATGTAGAAATAAATGTTAAAATATGAAATTGGAAAAAAATCCAAGTAAGGGTAAATGTAAAATACAACCCAAGAATGTTGTATATATTATATAGTCTGGGACTTTGGGATACAATTTTCAGACATGAACAAATTATTACAGGAACAAACTAACTACTATGTATAAAACAAAAACTTAAAAATATTTTTAAAAAATTAATATTTATTCCAGAACTATAATTTGTATGGGCACAAGGTGTACAGATAGTCAGAAGGTATAAAAATTACAAACAAGAACTGTATAATAAAGTATTCAGAATAAAACACTCCAAAAAGAAAAAAAAATACAATCAAAACTGTAGAATAAAGATTATGCACAAATCACTCAGAAAGGAATACACTAATTTTAGATACCGTTCTGACTTGTAGTGTAGTCATAGTGGACAATAGTGATAACTATGCAGATTATAATGAGACATTTGTACAGACTTGCTTTCTTTATTATGTAGTTCTCTTAAAATATTATTTTTACTTTATGTTTAACAAAAATGAGCCCTATACACCCCAAAAAACCCTTATCAGTGAGATAATAGCACCTGTATTAATTAAATGGAAAAGTTTTTTCACATGTAAAAAGCGTAAAATTTTTAATAAAAACATTTATCTGTTTCAAGTTGTGTTTGGCTCAGGAACAAACAAAATTTCTACAGCTGTAGAATCTATGACAGCAGAATGAACAGAAAAATTCTAAATAACAAATTAGTGATTTTACTTATAAAAATTATTAAATAATTATGGAATTCTTTGTGGGAATAAAGCAAAATATTATGCACATCTGAACTAATGTATTACAAGTAACAACTATGACCAACATTAGCTAAATCTGATCTTGTCATTAATAATTCCTATTACAAGTAACAACTATGACCAACATTAACTAAATCTAATCGTGTCATTAGTCTCATTCAATAAAAAGCTGAGTAAGGAATGTAATGATCGCATATCAACTGTTTAAATGTCTTGGGTTTTAATATCTTGTAATCAGCAGTTTGGAAATCAGGCTGTTTGCATTATCTTTATTTCATATTTAAATTCTTGTATTAACTTTTCATACTAATATTAACTTTTCACATCAATATTAATTTTTCATACTAACTTTTCATACTTGTGAATCTGATGCAAACAGCATGGATATTCTACCAATACATTTTCAACATAAACAGTACATTTATTTGGACTCTTAACACCATTATTTGTCAAGAATTTACCAAATAATACAATCGATTTAGCACAATTTTAATTCATTACAATTGTTCAAAAAATTATCTTATAAAATACTAGTATGAAATTTTTTACATGGTGTATCAATGTTTACATACCAATGCAGTTAACTACTTATACATACAACATCTGCAATTTGAATATTTGCTTTCATTATAATGAACTAGATTTAACCATCTGGAATTCTCCTTAAAAAACTTCTCAAATTTATACACCAATTAAAAAATCAGGAGACTAGTTCAACAGAATGTGATAGTGTCAGTAAGTGTAAATTACATTTCCACACAAAATTGTTTCTAGTTCCTTTTTGATAGTGGTAAATTCAGCAAATGTGCACATGGGAAAAAACTTAAAAGTTCTAAACATACTGCACTATGAATCAGTCTTAAGTTTTATTCCTTCAAATTTCAATAGTTCCATAACATTTAACATGAAATATACATTTACATAACAAGAACGTCATTTACTCTCAGATCTGGTGATGAATATTAGGACTGTGGGTACAATATGGCTGGAGCAAGAGAAACAAAGAAATAAGTTCAGATTTCAAATTCTGACAAAAACTGAATTTTGGTAATAATAAATGCAGAGCTATTCAATCAAAATTCAATTCAATTCAATTCAATTCAATCTTTTTGTTTTACTAAATTAAATAAATTTCATGCAGTGTTGCAATGTACAAAAAAAAAGAGTTGGAAGAGAAATGGACATGAAGAGACATAAATTGCTTTTCCATAGATTCAACTTCAGTAATATCTTCATGTGAGCATTAATGAGTTTCTTTATACAATTATCAAAAAAAAGGAATGATAAGTGTGACAGGAATAGTTTTAATTTACATATTACAAAGAGTGTTCTGGAGCTAAACATACTTCATTAAATCAACATTTACCCCTTCCAAAGGTTTTTGTCAAATCTCTAGAATTCATGTTCAATTTCACATATTTCTAATTATTAGTTTGGGACCATTCCAGCACATGATTTTAAATAACGTGAAGCTGAAATTAGTGCACCAATACCACCACACCATTAGTGCACCAATACCACCACACCATTAGTGCACCAATACCACCACACCATTAGTGCACAAATACCACCACACCATTAGTGCACCAATACCACCACACCATTAGTGCACCAATGCCACCACACCATTAAACATTTCTGAGAAAAA